TACAGAGTTGCGCTTGGTTGTATCCTAGTGTTGAGCAGAGCAAGGTTTTGTTATTCAATCAGCGTTCAATCGATTATTCAGTTTCGTACCAGCTTCCTTGATGTTGTATACCCCAGAAGATGCATCTTTGCCATTAAGCTGTTGGTCAGGTTTTTTTTATAAAGCCAACACAGTTAGCACTCACGTAACGGGACCTCCTCGATCCACAGCATATTTACCATCCCTTCGTTGCAAGCCGTGACCTCAAAGCGTCTCCTTTTTCTTTTACATTTCACGCAGTAGATTCTAATTTTATTTAAATGAATGAACGCTAAAGACATCTCATACAACATTTTTTTAACGTTTTCATTTCAAATTAAAAATCAAAACAAAAAATACAGTAAAGTCTGTTTCATATCTGGACTTATATCTAGAAATTGACAATGAAGGTCGGTTGAGAACAAACCAACAAGACAAAAGAGATGATTTCAGCTTACTAATTGTGAACTTTCTATTTCTATACAGCAGCATTCTAGCAGCTCCTGCATATGGAGTAAATATTTCGCAGTTAATACGATATTCGAGGGCTACCATTTCCTTTTCTGTTTTCTTGAATAGAGTAACTGCTCTCAAGGAAGCTATTAAACCAAGAGTTCCAAGTGGTTCAGTTAAAATCATCCCTTAGTTATCACGAGTTGGTTGACCACAAATGACGACGCTGTGTTCCAATTGTCGTAACCACAATCTCTTCCTCTTTTCCCCGAATGTGACCTACCGAATTAGACTTATAACGAGATTTGTTCTTACATGCACAACACACATGCAAATAGAAAATGTGACATACACCATTAATACGTGAATATTTTATGTTGATATTTCACGTCACTGGTCCTTCATTTCTGTATTCTTTAATTTTTAGTCCATTTTTTTCTGTTCTTTATACATTTTGCCTGTTATTCTCAATTCTTTATATTTTATCAACCCATTACTCTCTATTCCTTTTTTCAATTTTTTTAACACTTTATTCTGCGCATTTTGCCCATTATTCTGTAAACCCAATCCAGACTCTCATATAGCGAGAAATTCAGTAGATTTGAACACTTTTGCTTCTAAAGAATAAGGTATCCTACATATGGGAAATACGAAAAAAAAATCAAAACGATTTGGTTATATCTGAAATTAAAGGTTTCTGGCGGCTACTAAACATTCATCTGAATATCACATATAGCTCAATAAAACAGTGACTTTATTTCGGGTTTTCAAATGAACAAATTTTAATTCAAAAATTGCTTAACAATTAAGGGAAAATATCCTCATTCATATGAGGCAAACACTACACACCCTAATCTCTATGTCACAGTACTGGGTGTGTTGAGCACAATCAGATATATGAATGAATGAATTGTTTGATTGGTTAACGTCCAAAGGCAAATGCATATGAAGGACCAAAACAAATTATCAATTAAAACATTAAGTATGCAGTTTATGGATGTATATTCTCCTTCATGCGTCAACACATGTTCACAAAACTATGTACTTTGCATCAATCCTCCTTTGCGTTCATCAGATGTTAATAAAACTTTGAACATTTTAAAGATCCTTACATGAAGACACACGACATTGTAGCACATCCAATACATGCATGTAAATAAGTCCATATCTACGCCCCTTGGCATTCAACTGCACAACAGTTTAATAATATAAATCATTTTCATTTTCATTTGTTGATTCAACTTCCTATTATAAAATGTTCATGAAACTTGATGTATTTTACAGAAATTATTATCATTGATATTTACACTTAAAAAATGAATTTAGCTATGTAAAATAATAATTTTGCAAAACAAATCGAATTGTATGAAAAAGAAATCTTTATTGCCTTCATATGTCCCGAAATAATACTAGTTCAGCGAAATGGACGCCACACTAAACTCAGAAACATACAAATAAGGTCTGCTTAGGGTTTTAATCAACTTGATTATAATTTAAAAACAATATTACTTGAAAAGATTATAAGTTAAAAAAAATAAGTGTATCCCTGAGTTTTATAAAACCTTCCAACGGTGTTTATGTTAAGGTTTATGACCCCATCTGTGGCCTGTCAATTACGAAATTTTAAAACTGCAATAGTATCAAAACAGCAAAGAGAATTTGGTGAAAATAAAACCAAGATTTTTGTAAAAAAATCCACAGACTTTAATACAGAGATTTTTGTTATAAAATTTTAAACATAAATTACTCACTTGTTTTTCTATGATCAGCTAGCGTTTATTTTTTACAAAAAGTCCTAAACAACCTTTAAATTCCAAAACACCTCGTACTGAGTCACTAAAGCCGAGCGCACCCTAAAAGGTGTACTTGAATTGGTCCATATTTATATTTGTTTTAACAAATATCTAAATTTATAAACTTGTTTTAAGGAAATCATTGCTAGCACTGCATGCAATAATCCTCTATCTACCAAGCATCGAATTGCCAAATATGAGAGTACAAGGGGAAAGGCTGTGGATTTTCTAGAAAAATTCCATATGTTTAGCATTGAATCAACACAAGGGTACATAATCCTTAAGCTAAAATGTGTTATGATTGAATAATTGTATAATATACTGAGATTTCATCGGTCCGTTTTCGGTGCAAAAAGAGAACAATTAAACGAATACGTCGACAACAAACTAACAATTATATGACAATTTACTTGCTTGTGTAAAAAAGAGGCGACAGATACCAGGGGGATATTCAAACGCATAAGTCGAAATTAAACTGACAAAGTCATGGTTAAAAAATAATACAACAAACAAACAATAGTACGCAAAACCAACACAACATATAACACTAAAGACTGACAAACAAGAACCCAATAAAAAACTGGGGATGATCTCAGATGCTCCGGAAGGGAAAGCAGATTCTATTTCACGTATGGCATCCGTCGTGTTGCTCATGTAAATATGAACCTGCCAATAAGTATAATTTGGTAGGTCACATTCTTGAAAAGGGTACGGGATTGTAGTTACGACATAAGGAACATATATATATATATATATATATATATATATATATATATATATATATATTTATATATATAAGGAACATATAAATAAAGGCAACAGTAGTAAACCGCTGTTCGAAAGTCATAAATCGATTGAGAGAAAACCAATCCGGGTTACAAACTAAAACCGAGGGAAACACATCAACTATAAGAGGAAATCAACGAAACAACAGAAACACTAAAATTCGCTATCATCTGTGTAACGGAAATTCCATAACGGCCAACGAAATCGTGATGCCGTCCGTAAAATTTACGAAATGATGTTTTCAAGTTCAACACTTGGAACTCTTGGTTTAATAGTTTCCTTGTAACTGTTATTTAAATATATCAATTGGAGTACTGTTTATTTATAACACAAGTTGGATCCTACTTAGACGCGTCCATTCAAGACGGAAAATACAAGTGCTTTTTCTGTCCTTTCAATAATCGTTTGACTGTTTGTAAGTCAGTAAAAGTTAAATGATAAGTTAATATTGACATAAAAATATCGCCTAACAATAAGAGCTGTTAAAATAGACCACTTTCGAGTTTCTCAATCACCGGAAAAAACTCGTCAATTATGCGCGCCTTTATGACGTCATTTACCAGATAGAGGGGATTGCCTGTATCCCTGCACTATTAATGTTCATAGTGGTCGTCATTGTGCAGGATAAACTAGAAATAATGAATGTTCTGTAGATACTAAATCACAATTCCCTAATGACAGCAGTGCTGGTTGTCAATTATGACAATTTAATTTGCCGAATGATTCGTGCAATATAGCATCATAGTTTTCCAACTACTTGCTCAACATGAGACCGGAAGTGACGATGTCCCTTAAAGCACGAATGATGTTCACTAAAACCAAAGTTTTTGACTGAAATGCATCGAACTCGAAAGTTGACTATTCGCTCGTCCTCCGTGCTACGGAATCTTAACATCCCTTTTGTTCAGAAGTTTTTTAATGACAATCATATTCAATTACCAAAACCATAAACAATCCCATGGTGTTAATTCAAGGCTAAAAAAGAATGGATGATAATCTAACAATTTGTATTATGTACTGCCATTTAATCACCGTTTTCGATGCCGTTGTGTAACTGTTATTTGTCTTTATCAACCTGAGTGCTATTTATCTATCACATAAGTTGAATCCGACTAGTTAATATTTACATAAAGTGACCTCCTCACACAAAAAGGCTGTTAAAATACCTGCATCGTCCTGGCCCCGGGATCATAAAATACTTGTATGTTAAGTTTAATCGCAACCTCACTTTGGTCTTTTCAAAATATGACAGCAAGGTTGCAGACGTAGAAACTTGTCGAATCTTCTTAGGAAACCCACCATCCTCCCAATCTAAATATTTTTCTTATTATTTGTTTTTAATGGAAGTAAGAAACCAAATACTGCTTTTAAATTTATATTTCAGCTTATTTCTAGTAATGGTATCGAGGTAGGAGACAACTAGAGAACATGATGTTGGACATAAACAGAATTTTGGCTGCGCTGGATTCAACATTCATATATTCAGTGACCAGTAGCATCTGATTACCAGGGCTCATCAGTCAACTTCTCGCATAAACATATTACTTAAATATATTATATTATTGGTCTGCCATAATTTACGATAGCCACAATATAATTAACATGTATATTTCAAATACAGAAATTGATAAATATATTTCAGAGCAAGTTTGCCAATCTAAATACAAAATATATATCATATGTGTTATATTTTATTCCAGATAAAGCTGTGGCCAAATACTTTCAAACCTTATTATTGGGTCCTGAAAAATAATATCTATATTAACCATCATTGAACTCTTTCTATAACGAATTTGACAAGTCATCTTATTTATTTAGGTTATCTCAGTTAATAAATATTCTAAATTCGTGTGTATTCAAGCTTTGTCAAAGCTATTTGTATAGTTTCATTTGTTGTGTGTGTATTTAAATTAAAATCAATGATCTTATGTTAATAACCCAGATATTGGACATTTTACTTCCCTGTCCGAATTCCTTTCTGTTTTAATGCCTGTGGTAAGTATGTTCAAATAATACAATATTATTCAAATTTCAGAAAGTAAGATACTCTGGCAAAGAATCCAAAAACGCTTTAAAAAAGAAATCATTCTAAAAACTAGGTCGAAACAAAGTTTACAGAGACGCGTTGGGCATGACCCCAATTTTGCTATGTCTGTATGTTACAGGTATGGATTTTTAAAAAGATAGTGATCATAAGAAAAATGTAAAACCTACCAAAATTTGAATATTGAAGAGACTTTTGAATATACTGAACTGTTAACACAAATTGAAAATGATATTATGTGCTGCGTAATGCGTATTGATGAATTATGAACAAGTATGAAAGCATATTGCAAACTTCACATTTAAGTATTGATTAGGTGGGAACGGAACTGTACATTTATAGCTCACCTTTCCAAAAGGCCAATTGAGCTTTTTTCGTCATTTGGCGTCCATCGTCCGTCGTCGTCGTTCACTTTAAGAAATTTTATCCTCTGAAACAACTTAAACCAAATTTAGCCATACTTGGTCACAGTTATCATTAGGGTATCTAGTTTGTTTGAAAAAAAGGTCAGATGACCCAGCTTGCAAACAAGCATGGCTCACATGGCTAAATAGAACATAGCATTAGGGGTAAAATGCATTTTTTCTATTGTCTTGAAAAACGCTACGAATAGAGAAAATATGACAATGGCAGAAATGTTCAAACTGTTGAGATATAGCTGATGACCATTTACATCAGAACTGTCATCGAAGTTGTTGTCCTTAAATGTCAAATTTGACATATTTTACTAATATTTTGAAAACTATAATAGATAGAAAGGAACTATAATCCGAAAATAATGACCACAAACACAAATTCTACAATTAAGTAGCATTGCCGAAATCGTCAGACAACTCTTATAGTGATGACGAGTACAACCATTGTGTTGCGTTTTTTATTATTATCTTCTTCTTTGAAACTACTGGGCCAAATCCAATCAAACTTGACCACAATCATTATTCGAGTAAAGTGTTAAAAATATATCCCCTTGACCTCTTTTGCAAACAAACATGGTCGCCATGAGTCTAGTCATGGGTCCGATTACTTTCAATGTTATTGAGTAAATAACAATTACCTTGCTGATTATAGGATTAAATCAAATTAATCATTACACCATTTCTCAGAGTAACTTATTACAGATACAAGTGTGATGTTTAGCTAGCTATAAAACCAGGTTCAATCCACAATTTTCTACATAAGAAAATGCCTGTTCCAAGTCAGAAATATGAAAGTTTTTTTAAATTTGTTTGATGTGTTTGAGCTTTTGATTTTGCCATTTGATTAGGGAATTTCCGTTTTGAATTTTCCACGGAGTTCTTTCAGTATTTTTGTAATTTTACTTTTTATTAAATTAATGATTACACTTGCAAGTAATCATGATAACATCTAATTCCAATGAATTTCAAAATAACCCATTTGAATAATATTAGTGAATAAAGGTTATAATTGTAGCACTTTTTGAGAAATGATTTTATTTGTTATGTTATTAAAAACAACTTCAAGCTTCATCAACTGAATATACCACAGAAATTTACACCATATATTAATAATCTCTGAAATATTTTGACTTCGATTGAGTAAAGGTTTGTAAAGCTGTGTTTTTCAGGGTGCACTTTCTGGAAGATAAAATATAGATGAAATAAAGTTACGAGTAAAAAACATATCCTAAATTGTAATAGTATTGTATAAAAATTCTAAACAAAATATAAGTTTTAAAAATCAAATGTTGCATATTACATGTCCTCATATATATCTGTTGTATTGTTTATTTGTGTGTTTCTGTGTCCTATATGTTCTTCCATTTATTTGTATTATAGTCCTGTCATGTAATGTTGTCATTTGAATGTTGTATTTACCATTGCCATAAAAGCGGAAGGTTTGGCTAGCCACAAAACCAGGTTCAACCCACCATTTTTTCTTAAAGTGTCCTGTACCAAGTCAGGGAAATGGCCATTGTTATATTATAGTTTGTTTCTGTGTGTGTTGCATTTTAGTTTCTCTGTTGAGTCGTTGTTCTCCTCTTATATTTGATTTGTTTCCCTCAGTTTTAGTATGTAACCCGGATTTGTTTTTTCTCAATCGATTTATGAATTTCGAACAGCGGTGTACTACATTTATATATACCAACATTTGTTTATTTAAAACAACATATTTGTTTCAATTTTTGTTTGTGCTAATTTGATAAATTTTCACATGTCTGATTTATCTTTTGTCATATTGCTCTGAGTACAGCTAACACAATAGGTAATTTGAATAAAAAACAGACCTGAATTTTGTCCTCTTATTCTCTAGTCAACGTTGACAGTTTTCACAATATTAACAAAGGATTATAATTCTGGGTTAAAGGAAAGTATATTTGAATATAACCGTATTAAACCGCAGATTTATTTTTTTAAACTTTTTTATGCATAACAATTTGCTCAGGTTTAGAAATAAGCGTTGACATTTTTCAACCTGAAAGTAAACAAAACGATTGATTTTTTTGTGAAAATGACTTTCGTGAGGTTTAAACTTCTGGACAAATTTGACCCATTTAAACCCGTCTAAGTTATATTTTTCTGTTGGATAGATTCTTGGTCATACTAACAAAATGTCTACATTGAAGACGTCTCTATGTACCGCATCACTACTTTTTCCGTAATGGTAAAAATAAAATGTTTGTTACAGAGATAATGATAAAGGAGGAGCGGTTCAAGTCCAAGGATCATATGTTTGAAAATTCTATAACTTTCCTAGTTCATTATCCGAATTGTACTTTGAAAATATACTACATCCATCGATAATTTTAACATATCAAATGAATGAAAATCAGTTAAGCTGCTCAGGCGATCAGTCATGTCAGGTCATTGATGGGAATTTATTTTTTGTTAAAGTTTGGAAATCTGCATATATATATTTTAGTTGAACAATATAGATGCATAATTTTATTTCAAGCGTTATATATATATTTCCAAACGGTGTTTCAATATTTTTTCTAGTCTCAGTAATTGTCGTACATGAATTCAATATGATGACTCGTGAATGCATATCGGGTTAAGGTGAGCATTTGCTTTGAAAATGAATGCATTTAAAAATTTTCATTCGATTGACTCGAAATGATAATTATCAAGAAAAGGTTAAATCAGATACATGTGTTGTACATCAATGGAGAAGAAACAAGGTTAATGTTTGATTGCCAACAATTGGTCGTTAACCATGTTCAATCTCATACCGGATAAGAGACCATACAATATCCCGGTAAATATGGTGTGTAATAATTTAAAAGGTAAACAAATTCTCTGATTTATACTTAACAATATACAGACATCATTTATGACAGACTGCAAACAATTACGACCAGTGGATTACAGGCAACAGTTACTATAGTAAGAAAGACACAGATAATTTTACATGGGTTATACATGTTATTCATGTTTTTTAGCGCTCAATCCCCTCCCTAACCTTAGATAGTGGTACAGCAGCATAAACCTAGAACACACCATCAGATCAGCAGAAAGCACATCGAACAACACCCCAATTACCTGTCTTGGAAAAGTGCATTTTTTAGAACCAAAACCTCATTTGCAGTATGAACTGCTATATAGAACCAAACTATGATTGGTAGTATGAACTGCTTTGTTGAGCCAAAACATATTTTATAGTCTGAACTTCATTATCCAAACATCACAGTTATCAGATCTGCACAACATATTGATTGCAATAGTTAACTCATCTGGTTTGTCATTTCTTCTTTAATGTCATCTTAGGAGTGTTATCCTCTGTGACATGTTCTAATATATTTCTATTCAAATATTTTTTATAATTTAATAAGGTGACCGAAACATATTTTGTTTGAAGCGCGGAAGCACGATTTCACTGTGATATTTAGATGAAATCAAACAGTAAAAGCGCTATTTCTATACTTTTTGTATATCACAAAATCTGACATTATAAATGTGTATATTCAATTTTTATTATTTCGCAGGTTTCAATTTTATAGCTGTTAATATGCATTTGGTGTATAACGTTTTGGAACACACAACTTCAATTCATGGTTGTAATTATATTGCAGTAACATTCAATATGGCATTATTTCTGATAGAAAATGTTTTGTTGATTTCAGAAGTAAAGAAAATAATAATGGCTTCCTCGTTCACACACTTTTGTACAATTTGCAATGATGATCAAATATCGAAAATAGCAGTTACGTGGTGCACAGAATGTGGTGTATTTTTGTGTGAAGACTGTGAAAAACCTCACAGAAGGCTTAATCTTTCCAAGAACCATAAAACAATCCTAACTGAGGATTATGATGAGTTACCAACATTCATAACAAAAATTAGTATCCAGTGCAAGGATCACAAGAAGATGTTTGAACTTTACTGTTCTTTCCATGCATGTCCCTGCTGTGTCCAGTGCATTACTGATAAACATCAGAAGTGTCAAGACATGAAACCACTGTCAGATATTATAAAGCAATTTAAATCATCTGCCTCAGTTGAAAACCTTGAAACAGATTTGAATGATGTAAAGGAAAACTTAATAAAATCAGTTGAATACCTTAAAACCAGGATAAGTACAAATAATATTCAAAAAACTAAAGCAGTTGAAAAAATCCGATACATGAGGAAGTCGATCGATAAGTACCTAAATCAGTTAGAGCTGACACTACTCGATGAATTGGAGTACAAATATTCAAAGCTGAAATCGAATATGAACACTTTAGTACAACAAATGGAACTTCGAGCAAATCAGATAGACCAAATGCAGAGCAAATTAACTGATTTGATACAATATGCAACAGATTTACAAATATACATTTGTTTGATTGAAATTGAAAAATCGTCATCACGAGTAGCCAATTACTTCGAAGATTTGGAACAAGGAGATGATTTAAGTGAAAAGAATTTGAATATGAGCATTTCATCTGATCTTCAATCTATTTTGCAAGATGTTAAGTCGTTTGGGGATATTGCTATTAAGATCAGCCCTTCTACTCTACAAGTTAAGACCATAAGAAAGGATCAAGCGCAACAATTAGTTCCAAACATTCCTGACGTTGAACAAATTAAGCCATTTTGGATGTATGCAATGACAATTCCAGTTAGTATATTTCCTTTACTCATTAAGGCTTGTGTAGTATTACCTGATGATAAATTCATAATACTGGATAATGTGCAACTACTATTGTTCAGTAACAACGTCTGCTTTGTGAGAAAAATATATACATTCAGAGATATTCCATTGGATGTCTGTTTTGTTAAAACAAATACAGTGGTGGTAGCATTAGGGTCAGCAAACAAGATCGCACTGGTTGATGTTGCAAAGAACAGAATTATCAAAATTGTCAGACTTTCTCATAACTGTGATGGAGTAGGAGTTGATGATAACATGATGATCGTCAGCAGTGATGGGAAAAGTACCTTAATAAATTTGAATGACATGTATTGTACAATCTTACAAGGAGTGCGAGCAAGCCATATTTCATTATTCAAAGGACACATTTATGGTATCCTTGAAATAAACAATCAAAGCAGAGTGAGCTGCTACAAAAACAATGGAGAACATATTTGGACATTTATGCACCTTGAAATTGATGAACCGATGGGACTAACATTAGACAAGAATGGATTCGTTTATATAGCTTCTGCTAGTAACAACAGTATCGTGGTATTATCACCCGACGGCAAAAGAAGTAGCTCAATACTATCCGAACACGACGGGATCAATTGTCCTAGTTCAATAGATATAAACAAAGAATCAGGACTGATGATGGTGTCCTATGATTTAAGTAGTGATGGGGATATGGAGTCCTTTGATTCAGCTTTTGTCTATAAAATACCAAATGTGTGATTGTTTTCATATTGAAAAAGGTTTATTAATGCAAACTATTTAATGCTATCAAACATTGTCATCCTCCTTATGGCATCACCGTCACGTAATTTAAAATGCATATTTGTATTCATTTTATATGAAATAAAACTAAACGCTATAGTTGACTAACTAACAAAATAATCAAAATTAACCAGACTTAAATATCAGTCATAACAGTAAACCAACGTATGATTGCATATCCTTTAAACGTTAGGAGTGATGACTTTAATTTATCATATTCCTTGTAAACAGAAATTCTTTATACGCAAAATTTTGGTCAGAAAATGTCAAAAGAATATCTACTAAATAAAATGAAAAAACAACACGTTGAATAATTGTATGCGTCGAAAGCGCTCTTCTGGATTTAACTTACCAGGAACGTTCAAAACCAAATATTTGAAAGCTGGGGATGTATAAGTACCGAAAAAAGTCGAAGTCAAGAGCTATATAACAAAAAATGAATAAAAAAAGCCAAATCCATCTAAGGTCAACTTTGCACGAGGGAGTTGAAACCCTTGTTTCTTTATAATTTCCAAATTTATAAACGGACAATTTTAGAAAGGTTTGTTATAAATCATGTCAGTACCGAAGTACTTACTACTGAGCTGATGATACCCTCAAGGACTAATAATCCACCAGCAGAGGTATTGAACCAGTGCTGTAAAAAAATTGAAAATAACACGTTTAATAATTTTATGCGTCCGATGAACTTTTCTGGATTTACCTTCATCAGGAACGCTCAAAACCAAATATTTGAAAGCTTAGGATGAGTAAGTACAGAAACAGTTAAAGAGCTATATTACAAAAAAATACCTTTAAAAAAACCCAAATACTAAGGGATACATCAAATGCAACACAACCGAATATAATTCTAAGACCCATGCCAAAGTATTTATTTTTAGAAAATACCAGAATTGTACAGATGTCCATAGCTTTTCGAGTTAAAAGCAGTTCTTTTTTGTCATGGTTACGGAGTCTCTTAGATTGTGGCATAAACCTGCATATTTTGACGTCGAAAATTGTTATCAAAATATGTCATAAACTATGGCATATGCAGAATGAAAGTGAATTGGCAAATATTGTGCATTCAATGACCTTTAGGTTGCCTTAAAGGTCATATGTTATTGGTGATTTTGAACTGTGATTTTGGAGTCATTTTATTAAATTTTGTCAGAAACTGTAATAAATAGGTCAATACAATAAATACAAAAAAAAAAATATACAGAACGTTTATTGATTATATTTGTTAAGAGGTCAAGGTCATGTTAAACGTTCTTAACAACGACCCTTACTTGATATTTTTGAATTTTATTTGCACATATGATATAGTTTTTCTTACAGAATGTTGGTTTAAAAATGATTTTAGTTTTTCCATTCCTCGTTATGACTGTTTTTTGTATGCTAGACGAAAGTCTAAATCTACTCAAGGAGGAGGTATTGTAATTTTGATAAAAGGGTGTTTTTCTAATAAAATATCTATTAAAACATTTAGTATGGCGTTCATTATCACCGAACTAGTATATATATTTGTTTAGGGGCCAGCTGAAGGACGCCTCCGGGTGCGGGAATTTCTCGCTGCATTGAAGACCTGTTGGTGACCTTCTGCTGTTGTCTGTTCTATGGTCGGGTTGTTGTCTCTTTGACACATTCCCCATTTCCATTCTCAATTTTATTCATGACACAATTATATGGTTGAATATTAAAAAGGATATTGTTACAAGTGATCAAAAGTTATTTATTGCCTGCGTTTATATACTCCCTGTCAGATTGAATTTTTATAAACTTTATAATTGCGATTTATTTGTTGATCTAGAAAATAGTATTGAACTTTACTCATTACTTGGTGATGTTATACTTCTGGGCGATACAAATAGTCGAACTGGGGCAATAGATGATTTTGTGAGTAGCGATAGTATTCATACTACTATAAGGAATAGACTTGATGATAATTTTGATTATTCTGCTGGTATAGAACTCAATGTAAGAAACTTATCTCGCTATGTAAAGCCTCGGGTTTGAGAATATTGAATGGCCGGCATAAAAATGGTTTTGCGAATGATTTTACATTTTGTGGTGCGCATGGAATGAGCGTTATAGACTACCTATTAGTCCCAGAGTCACTTTTCCAGATAGTGCGTCAACTTATTTGTTTCTAATTGTACAACTTTTTCCGACCACGCATTTCTACATATACAACTTTCATTACTGTGTAACAAACAAAATCCAACACGGTTTCCGGATGGTGAAAACGGAGAGAATCTGTCGCAGGACAAATTTGTATGGAATGATGAATTAAAAGAACAATGTAGAAATTGTTTACTGAATAATATGGAAAAGATAAATTTGTGTCGTGAACGGATTGAATTTGATGGGCAGCAATTACTCGACAATTCGTTGGCCGATTCACTAGTACGTTAAATGACATTATGGCACCATTTTTTAAAAAGAGGACAAACAGTTATAAATCTTGCAGATCTAACATTTGTGATGACAAACCCTGGTTCAACGCCCAGTGTAAAGACCGTTATCGCCGCTATATAAACTGTTTGAATATATTTAATAGATTAAAATCGCAACTAAACCATAGTAATTTAATTCGAACGAAAAAGGACTATAACACACTAGAACGTCGCTTGAAACGTGAATATATGCGCACTGAAGGAAACATGCTGGACATAATGAGACTTACAAACCCTAAATTATTTTACAAAAAATTTAAAAGGAAAGCGTCTCCTAAACAATTAAAGTTGTTCCATGAACATTTTAAGTCATTGTGCTCATCAGACACAGATGCTGTACTGGACAACAGCCAATTTCATAATACTAATGGTGAGTGCGTCTATGAGGAACTTGATAGAGAAATTACAGAAAATGACATTTTGAAAGCTATTCGTAACCTTAAACGTGATAAAAGTCATGGAGTTGATGGAATTCTTAAGGAATATTTTATTGAATACAAGAATGTGTTTATGCCTGTATTACTGTACATTTTTAATGGAATTTTACAGTCCGGTATTTTCCCAACTGATTGGGCTAAAGCCATACTTATACCTATATTCAAGAAGGGTAATGTGCTTGATCCAAACAACTACAGAGGGATTAGTTTCGTCAGTAATTTTGGAAAGTTATTTACGTCCGTTCTTTATTAACGTTTAATAGACTGGTCGGAAACGTTGGATATTGTGACCGATGCCCAGTTCGGCTTTCGCCCCGGTCTGGGTACAGTAGATGCCATTTTTGCTCTTACATCATTAATTTTCAAATCTTTATCAGTCAAAAATCGTTTTTTTTTATTGTTGTTTTGTAGACTACACGAAAGCTTTTGATACTGTTCAAAGATATATGTTATGGTATAAACTATCAAAAATTGGTATTCAAGGTAAATATTTAATAGTAATCAAAGCAATGTATTCTAATGTCACTTCTTGTGTAAGTGTTGATGGGTTCAATTCTGATTATTTTACTAATGAAGTAGGTTTGATGCAAGGTGAAGTATTATCACCGATATTATTTTCAATGTATATATCAACGATTGTGAAATGGCTTTTATAAATAGTGACTCTATTCCTTATGAGATGAAGGAACTACATTTATTTTTATTAATGTACGCTGACGATATGGTTATTTTTTCAGAAACTGTATCTGGATAACAAACATTACTTGATTCTTTATATGATTATACCTCCAAATGGTCACTTAGTGTGAATATAGCAAAAACGAAAATTGTTGTTTTTAGAAAGGGTGGAAAAATACATGAAAATGAAAAATGGTATTATAATAACCAGGAAATAGAAGTTGTAGAAAAGTTTAGTTATCTTAATATTTTGTTAAATTTTAATGGTAAATATAATGTGTTACAGCAAAAACTCTCAGAACAGGGTAGAAAAGCTGTGTGAGCCTTAAGGAGAAATGTAAAAAATATTTATTTGAATTTTGTAACTTTACTTTCCATTTTTGATACTTATATTAACAGTGTACTTTGTTATGGTTGTGAAATTTGGGGTGCTCACAAAGCACCAGCTATAGAAAGGATACATCTGGGCTATTGTAAAAATATTATGAAAGTAAAAAGCTCTACTAGTAATGTAATGGTGTACTATGAGCTAGATAGATTGCCATTATTGCACACCAGAAAATGTCGCATTTTTAAATACTGGTTTAAGTTGTTATGCACCACAAACTGTATTTTGAAAAACTGTTACTGTTTGAAGATGAGATGCATTTCATTTTAAAATGTCCAACTTATCAAGGTCTTAGATCTTATCTTATAAAACCATATTATTGGAGAAAACCTTCTATGTATAAATATATACAATTAATAGGTACTAATAGCCTTAGAGAATTATGTAATTTGGGTAAATTTATATTTCGTGCACAAAGATTAAGATCTAACATGCTATAATATGTTTCACACTACCTTCTGCTATCTATGTATACTTTGTGTAGTTTATATGTTGTATGCCTAAAGTTGTTATGAATTTGGTAAATAAAGATATATATGATATAAAAGTACCTAGCAACCATTCATATTTGGGTTCAGACGTATATGTACTGGAATAGGATACTTTTTTTAAAAAGTGAGAGGTCAATTTCGTTTCCAGAAACATAAGTAGCCATTCTTATATTTGGCACAACTTTTTGGAATTTCGGGTCCTCAATGCTCTTCAACTTTGTACTTGTTTGGCTTTATAACTATTTTGATCTGAGCGTCACTGATGAGTTTTATTTAGACGCGTCTGCCGTATTGAATTATAATCCTGGTACCTTTGATAACTATTTACACCACTTGGTCGATGCCACTGCTGGTGGACGTTTCGTCCGAGGGTATCATCAACCCAGTAGTCAGCACTTCGGTGTTGACATTAATATCAATTATATGGTCATTTCAATAAATTTTCTGTTGACAAAACTTTAAATTTTCGAAAAACTAAGGATTTTCTTATCCCAGGAATAGATTACCTTAGCCGTATTTGGCACAACTTTTTGGAATTTTGGGTCCTCAATGCTCTTCAACTTTGTACTTGTTTGGCTTTATAACTATTTTGATCTGAGCGTCACTGATGAGTCTTATGTAGACGAAAGGCGTGTCTGGCGTATCAAATTATAATCCTGTTACCTTTGATAACTAATTATATAGGTAAAAAAAAAGGCTAGCAAAAATCAGTGTTTTGGTCTTTTGTGACAAAATTAAGAAATTCTAAAACTTAACATGTACTTCCTAAGTCAGGAATCTGATATTCAGTAGTTGTCGTTTGTTGATGTGGTTCATAAGTGTTTCTCGATACGCATTTTTTTATATAGATTAGACCGTTGGTTTTCCCGTTTGAATGGTTTTACACTAGTAATATTTTGGGGCCCTTCACAGCTTGCTGTTGGGTATGAATCAAGGCTCCGTGTTGAAGGCCGTACTTTGACCTATAATGGTTTACTTTTATAAATTGTGACTTGGATGGAGAGTTGACTCATTGGCACTCATACCTCATCTTTTTATATCTATTTGTTTCTTTAAATTAAAACTTTAAGTTCCTTTATAGAACAGAAATAATTTCCTGGCATGAACTTACTCATTTGTATTTCAAATAATCACGTTGGTTTATTTGAAACATCATAGATATAAAGTGATCATAAAACTTATTTTTTTCGAAATACTAGTACTAAGGCGGATTTTCCTATGCAAATTAAATATGTGGGTTAGCAAAAATGGGGTAAGTGCTCAATATCGTCACAGAAGTCGTTAGTAGTCGTTTTCATATCCTGCAAAAATGCCTACAATGCTACTCTAGTAGACGTTATCTGTTATCTTGATGCACATCTGTAAAGTTGTACATAAACTATACATTCGTAAAGATGTTTATAAACTGTACATTCTGTAAAATTGTATATAAACTGTACATTTTGAAAGCTGTATATGAACTGTAATGATGAGGACAAAATGTAATACATATCTTAATGATCATGATTTAAATATCTTTCCTTTAAATCGTAGACTGGCTCGTAAGAGCTTTAGAAGGTTATGCAAACAATGGGCGTTCGTCATTGTCATCAATTTGTTCATTGTACGTCTAATATTTTCTTTTGAAATTGCATACTAGTAATTAAATGTTATTTAACTTTACAGTATAAAAGCATAGAATATATTCTGTAAACGGTTCCTATTCTGTTTCCACCTGATAAAAATTATGACTGGTACAGGTAAGAATATAACATTGAAATCAAAACGATAGTTCTTCGCTTAATTTGTTAGTATACTATTGTCGATAGGTGTTGATCAATCTTAAAATTTTCAGAACAGAAATTAAATGTCAGGTATTATCAAATTACAGTTATTTTACTTGATAACTATTTTAGATAGACAGTGAAAAAAAGTTTGAATGACTTTAATTGACGATTTTTACCCATTTCTTTATTAGCCTGGTTTAAGGGCAAATTGAGCGTTTCTCATCTATTGCCATCCCAAATTTTCAACTGTAAACTTTTGCAAAACTCTTGTC